CAAGGCTAAATCGAATTTAATACAGGATGATTCATTGAGCGTCCTCACCTTGCTTAGCGCTTTGAGACATTCAAAATCGCTGTATTCAGACGTCAAAACAATGTATCCAGCCAATCTAAAACGCAGGAGCGTCATTCAATTATTTAGTTGCACTCGTATTTCTCGGGCAAATTTGTACCGAGAATTACAACCGATTGTTGGCTAGGCATAACGTGGTCGAGATCGATAAGCAGGTCCATCGCAATGTCCATCGATTCATTTACTAACGTAACTAGTGTGCCAACTTCGGTTTTAATAAGGGTACAGAGCCATTGGCATCACTTTTCGGCGTTATTGTCAATTTTGATAGTGCAGTGATACTTCGCATTAGTTAATCGTTGATATTGGCCAATATCAGCTGAAAACCGAAGTACAGTACAGAAAACTTCGGTGATCACTGCCAAGCTCCCGATACATGCAAAATAAGATGTAGGGTGGACGAAAAATGGGCTGGTTTCGAGGGGGGGGGGGCATCTGTGGTCAACAGTATAATCTAACTATGGATACAACTTCTCAAGCATTCTGGCCTGATGATAAGTAATAAGAAGCATACCACTCATATCAGTTCATGACTTTAAATGTCTCCAACCAACCAGTTAGTCTTTTCGGCTCCAACCTGGATGCTGGTAGCCACCTACTGTACCTAATCGTTTTGTACATGAAAAGCTAAAAGAAAATTTCCGCATGGCGTGGTTTCAGGCACGTGCCTAATGGTCTACATCTCTTAAAAACCAATGTCTTTGGGGCATATCCAGTACCACGCCTAACCTAAAGTGGCCTCGTGGTTGATCACTCCAGGTGTCGGGCTATAGGTTGGCGGTTTCCATCACTGAACAACAAGCCTTCGAGACCGTGGAGTCCACCTTGTCTGCTGCTCATCACGCGGACGTGTAATAAAAAATCTTCAGTAATCACGCTTCATTCGGAAATATGGCGGCTTATTTTGACTACACGAAAAGTTCAACGCCAATGTACCCTATATGCCGCATGAGCGCGAGCGTCAGATATTCGCAGTTTATACCCGAAGTATCACTGTGTTGTGGTAAAAAGTGATCTTCAAAGCGAATCGTATATCTACATTATTTATCTACTGGTTAATATTGAGGCTATTTCATCAAATCAATGTTCAGTGGTGTGCCAAACTCCGACGTTCGCTATCAAAATTTGGACCTTGTTACTCATCCCCGATTGATCGTCGAGAGAAAATGTGTATGCCTATCAGGTGCTACGCTTTCGTGATTTTTCCATCCGCTGAGGGCTCGTTTGATAACTGTCGGCTATAAAGGTGAGACAGAAAAACCTAAATTATGAGGTCCCAAACCCTAGTGGATTTTGTTTTGCAGAATTGCATTGTCAATATCATAAGCAGTATTCACCTGGTTCTCACCCCTTTGCACTTGCTTGTTTATTCCACTCTCTTATTTCTGAAAATGCTCAACGTACTGTGGAAGCGAGTTGTCCACGAGCTGGATGACGCTAGCTGACCACTTGTGCTCTTCCTCCAAAATCTGAGTTTTTGCCGGTAGCTCAAAGGAAGAACCATGCCAATCGCAGATCATCATCTGGATCGCGCCCCGCTGTCTTAAGATAACACTAGTTATCTGCAAGACAAAAGCGGTACTCGTGCATTGCATTTAACCGAATCGGTCTCATCCCCGATGGTGATGGTGGTCGCCTTACGAAATTGTAGGCGACGGGCACAATAAGTCTGGCATGGATGCACTGACGGTCAAGCGCAGATGTCCGATAACTACCGTGCATTGTTTGATTCGTCCATGATCAAAGCTGCTGATACTCCTATCGATGGTGCGATTCTTCATCCAAGCACGGCATACATCACTGCCGGGCTGCTGTAAGCCTAAGATCATTAATCAAACCTCACAATTATTTCCCCGTTGTTACCATCCATTCACATGTGTCTTATTTTTTCCGCGACAGCCGTCATTGATGTAGCTGTTCTCTTTAGCCGTTTAGTTAGTACTGTCATATAAGTCGCGCCTGTCTCAATAGTGTCGTTCATTTACAGTGATCGTCACCCATAAAGCACGGGATGTTGCCATTGCGTGATCGTTTAGCCACTGTCGCACTGTGGTGCGGTCTCTTGTATTCAGCTTACTCTGGAACGGCTGCGTCCATGGAAAGCTAGTTTTGATTCTACCGTAAATTCTCTCTCCGGAGGTTATCAAATCACGGTTGCACTCGACACAAAATTTCGAACCTCACTGCTGTTACAAAGCCAGTGTTTCTGTTGGATTTGGATTTATGGATTCTATGCAGCTAGATTCCTCTATGGGGTGACTCGGTTTAATGGGTATCGTGAATGATAGCTTCTCATGAACCACGGTCGGTGGTGAAGTTAGCGCAGACCGAGGCATGTTCCGGTTCTAGGGGCGTAGTCTGTAAACGGTTTGGAGATCTGAAGTTTCAGCGCTTGATTTGACAAAGCTTAGCCACGCTTTCATCTGTTCACCACAGTGACGGTGTGTGTTAATAGACACTTTCGAATTCGAGAAAAAAATACTGTTTCGAAATGTTCGATCAGTATATAGTCGCCCAGCGCCTTGTTTGCTTCACCACTCCAAGTCCTCGAGCTTCGGTTTCCGATTTCCAGTAGTAAACAGTAAGTCCTCGTGACCGTAGAGCTTACCCCCGCTGCTGTTCAACACAGTGGTATGTGTAGTAAGGAAAGCAAGTCATAGGTTATTTGATCCTTGGAAGACCGTCCTCGAAAGTACGTGAGCGTGTATCACTCACTTCATCTCCCAACTAGTCAGGTTATATTGGTATTTACTCAGTCTGGTATTGGAAGGTTATGCTTAATCGGTGGGACGTCCGACTTGGGAAGGATGCAGAAACCTCTGGCTTATCCAACTGTATTTTCTATACAGTGAGGCAAGCGGGCTATTCGTTTGTAGCAGCCAGGAAGGCCAGTGATTACCCAAAGACTTCAACTAACAGACGCGACTTACATGAGTGTTCTGTAAATTTGTGTAACTTATGATATTGAACAAATCGAATCGATTTGGTGCACCAGGCATTGAAAGCTTCGGGCCCACCAACAACTTCAACTGTTATCCTCATCAAAGGTGGATGTCAACATTCGCCGATGATAGAGTGGCAGATGGTTATCGTGCGCGATGGCAATTCCTCAGATTAAGATGCGTTTTTCACTGTACTCACTTGCTCATTAGTCATCAGTTTGTTGGGTGAGTAGTTAGTGTTGAACGTGTTACATCTTAGGTCGTGAAGGCGTAGCAAGCTGTGCGAAAAGTGGTTGTTTTTATTTTGAACTTCCGGTATTAGGTCGGCTGTCGCACCCTTCTCTTTGTAATCTTTTAAACACGTGTTGTGTTGCACCGGTCGTCGATTTTTGTTCAACTTAGTTTTTGCACAAAATTAGTGAGACAAATACCTATGACTCAGCACGCAGCCTGAAGAGTAAGCATTGTGCCAGCGCTTTACTGCCTGCTCCTTCATCAAATCATGTAGTACATAATGGAAGGTACAAATTCGGGAGAATACCGGGTGATCTTATCACAGAGTAGATGTCGTAACTGAGGTATTGTGCAACTCAATATTCAAACGTCTCATCGAATTTGTGCCGATCTCAGTAACCGGAGCGAACATAAGAAATAAGTTATTGTCTTAGATCGCGATGAGCTGATCCGTGCCAGATTCTTTTTACTCTGGAAATAATCCTTTTTACCTAGTCGTCAAGTATTAGCTCATCGGCTAAAACTGGCTTATTATGTATTCCGATTTCCGAATTTTCCAGAAATATCTTTCTGGTCTGAGCAAGCGTCGAGCTTTAAATTTGTTCGTACGAGTTTTACGATCAAGAAGACGACTACTGATTCAGGAATCTCCCTCTTCGTCCATAGAAGCCTATTTTGCCGACCATTTGGTAGGGCTCCTTAAACCATTGTTTTGCGACCAACCGGTCACTGCCTGTCACGGAATATCCATGAATTTAGATAACTAAGGTCGCGAATGATTAAACTATCCCTCTACGTTTCGCTGGCGAAGGTGCTTCCTCTGCTTCAAAGAATACCGATAAGTGTAGCCTTTGTACGTCTGCTTTTGCCATGTATTCAGCTTTCTCGATGTACGAGTGTGAGGAACGTCGACGAAAACCAGTTTACTTCATTCTACAGGTATGATATCATTACATTTCAGCTTATCGGACGTGGCTTTGGAATATGAGGGGCATGAAATCGTTCATTACGAAAAGAGGTAGTCGCATAAAAAACGGTCAAATGTTGTACTTCCCTGTACGGACAAGATCGTTCATTGGTCGTCTCAACCTATACCCATGCTTCTAGTGACCACAGGTTCATTAGGATCATTCCACCTTACCCAACAGTGGTGGGCGAATTGGAGAGTGACCTTTTTGCTGTCGATCTAACTTGACTAGTATGAGCAGTGCCAGACAAAAGCTGCTGAAGCGTCATTATTCGATTACCGTTAAGATATTCGCTGACTTTTCAAAATAAATATTTTACGATTCGATGGTGACTGATGCAATAGTTATGGGTTCTACCAAGGTGCTCTGAAAGAGTACTCAGTGGGTTCTGTTGCTAAAACGCTGTCAAAGCGAAAAGCAACTGCAAGTTTGCTTCATTAAAATCAAGCAGTGATACTTCGGGTTCCTACACCGTTTCATCCTCGCGATACGTTCCACGCGTATTATGAGATAGTCTTTGATTTTCCAGGAGCCGTACCGGGGAACGTGCACAATACTCCACTTAGTTCTCGGTCAAGCTCAGTTGAACAAAAAACGCATTCTGGTTACACAGCCTTTCCTTTTGATCCTTCCTTATCATCTTTCCCCGGCCCACTTTTCACTTCGTGGTGATTACTGCTTTTTTGCACAATTCAATTAACCTGTTGAGATTGATACTGTGACTTATTTGCTGGTTGACTACCAATTACGCTGGCCTTCGTTTGGTTTTATTCGATAGATCCGGTCCTCCAACTCGCTACGGATATGGTCGGTCGACCTGGCGTTCTGGAACAGACTGAACTCCAAACAAGTGTGCTGGAACATGCTGCCTGTATGCGAATGGCGGACTGTTACGCGGATCACTATTCGAATTATATGAACATGGATCAGTTTGTTCGTCAGTGTTGACTTTGGACTAGTGGTATGCAATTGCTAGTCTCACTTCAATTCAGTTCTGTGTTCTGCGCGGTTAATGTGACCGGCCGGTTAACATGCCTCCCGGTGCACCTAAAATACTTCAGTACACCGGCGCACACATTGCATTCATGATACACGTTTTTGTACGTTTCCTTTCTACATCCAATCACCTCCCCTCTATATTCTCACCACAGCTGATCACGCAATGAGCATCCTAGTTATCATTGCCTCTGTTATCTGGTCTGCTATGCATAAATCTGTTCCATACCGTTTTATTGTAATATGTATTAACGTGGCATCACTTGTGTCCAGTGCATCTGTATTCCGAAATCTACGAATTTTGGATGACCGTATATTGTCCCTTATTCTTCATGCTCTGAGAACCACTTGATATATGGGGAGCGATGCTTAATTTTGACCAGCGACAAAGCCCTTCCATGGTGCATGGCAAATTTGCCCTGGAAATACGCAAGAGCGAGTAATGTACTACAATATCGGAGTATTTGAACTAAAAAGTGTGAATGTCGCAGGTCTCACACTGTTTGGTATGGAGAACCATTAATGGGGCCGTTTGATTCACACGCTTTTGACGGGATGAAGTGGTAACCATTAGAGAAATTTTAAAGGAGGCTCATTAAGTCAGCCAAATTTTTCGGTCTTTCGAACTCAGCATAGGAAACCGTAAGGATCTTTTGATGGTTCGCAGGCGTTTGAGTTCAGATTGAGGGCCAAACAAATCACGGTACATTAATCGTTATAACAGATGAAAAAGGTCCATCATTTACCAGTATGTGGGAAGTGGCCAGGCATGAATCGTCTTTGGGAGTCTACAACTGGAGCCTTTGACTAACCAAAGTCTCATCGCAACGCAGAGGAATCGGTGTGAGGACGTTATATATATATATATATATAACACCGGCTTGAGAACAAGCATGGTGCAAAGTGGGCTACAGAGCATGGGGAAAGAGACGTAATTGTCAAAATGGAAGATTACGAATAAATGGAATACATTTTTTTGTTTCGCCGTACACTTTTTGAATGTTGTTTTTATGGGGCGCGGGATTTCGACAGGTAGACCGTAC